AGAATAATTTATGTATCTTTGATGGTTATATTACTTTGTACATTAGTTTCAATACAAATAAATTGATTCATTTACTGTGTTATTTTTATTCCACTCCAGTCTCGGGCATAAAATATTTTATCAACAAACAATAGACAGCAAAATGAAAGTAGTTTACCTTGATAAGTTTTACGTGTTTATCGATCCCATAGCATTCACCTAGACCAGGTTTAGTTTATTAGGTGACCGCAATTACGACGTCCCGGAATGTAGGTCCCCATGGGCCGGGGCGGGGGCCTAGTGCCCAGGTCTGTGCCGGCTGCGGCCCGCCGGCCCCGCCGCGAACCGGGACAAAAGTTCACTCGCCGACCTTGCCCGACTCTACGCGCCTTTGCCGAAACAAGTTACCAAGCTGTGTTTATAGAAAATATGTGTTGACCAATGCACTACATATGGTCAGTTACTTGGTATTGTAATACCTGTTTAAAATATCACCAGTTTCTAATGCATTAAATAAGTAAAACTCGATAATTAAAGTATTCGACGCCGATTACTTGTAAATCACTACATTCGTTCAAGTATTGACGCGCCCTGACATCTGTTGTCTCTTCATTGGTCGCAGTACCGACCTCGAGCTGACAGACACATTCCAGTGGGCACTTGAACAAGACGATTATTTCCATACGTAGACAAGCATCAGCTTGATATTATCTATCTAGTGTATAAGAAATTTATTGGGTAATTTACGTATCTAGGTTCCAGCTCGTAAAACGACAATGGCTAGCTATGAAGGTCAGGGTGTGACAAGTGGGCCAGGGGGTCTGTTGGTTGGTACGAGGGGGGGCGCAGGGGGTCAAATGGGTCAATCGATCACCTCTCACGCCAGCACCGACACCACAGCGACCTTCATTTACATTCTTGGTATTTTTTCTGAATAACAGGAACAGTATTCATTGTTTTTAATATATGCTATTAATTTACAAAATACACGAATTGTTTAGTGTGTTTGGATCTGCTGTGTTTGGCAATGCGCTGATCAAACAGCCTCTATTGATGTAATTGTTATTACTACGCTTTACTCACCCATTCATACAATAAACAGGCAAATCCTTTTGGAATCCAGTAATTCTATATTACACAATCAGATCTGTCATACTTCCATCTCAGTGGAGTCGACACAGCACACATAGTATTTATTGGACCCGATCCTAGTTCCTACGCCTTTCGTTTGTCCTGTTTTTACGTACATCTTTCTTTAGAATTGGATTCTATACAAATGAATATTCCTGGTCATTGATAAATGGTAAGGAAATGTGTGCTAGTGTTAGCTACAGGTAAACAAACAGAATTCGTTGCCGCCTCGAGTGCTATTTATTTTCAGAATGCGCAAAATTTATTCTCAAAATAATAAATGGCTTCTTCAACGCATAAGTAAATGTAACATTCTCATTTCCTTGCTCTGAACAAAGCGTGCTACTTTTGTGCGATACTTTTTACTGTTATTGTTATTTACTAAAACATTTTTCTTTGTAAGAGAAGGGGACAAACGAGCGGCGAGAACGCCGAGGTGGTCAACGACGCTCATGGACATCCGCAACACCAGTGGAACTACAGATGCGTTGCCGGCCTTTGAGGAAATTGTAGTCTGGCTTCTTGAAGGACCCTAAGTTAGTTTACTTTAATTTTATCATATTACAGTAAACCGTACATGCAAACCTAGTCTTAACCCTATAAAAGCTATAAGTATAGCAATAGCATAGCTTTTGTAGACTGCGCTATCGTCTATGAGTGAATAATTAGACCATGTGTCTATTAATTTGACAAAATAGCACCAGACATCGAAGAATTAAGCCCTCGCTAATCTGCATAAATGTGTTTTAAGATTTCATTTTTTGTATAATAGATATCCTTAAGTTTACAGCAAGTGATTTAATTAGTAAGAGTAGTAAGTAGTACTTAAATTGACGACAGCCTACCAACTTTTCTCAGTAATGTTAAAAAACCTGTTCGTCTCAGGGTCGATGAGTGAACAGTCGTAGTCGCTTCGTGCACCATGACGCAGCTCAGGGAAAACTACAGGTAACCTATTGCAAGAATGAAGAATAACATCTGTGACGTGTTTGTCAATGTACGCACAATGTAGGGTGTGTTGTTTAGTGGCTCATGACATATCTTCTCCTTGTCTTCGAAAAAAATCATAAATTCTTTATTTAATTGCTATAAACCCAAATATATATAATGTATTCAGCCGTTTTTTTAATGTTAAATACCAGTTTGTAGTTTTCACTAACAGTCAAATTAATATCGCTTTTAAGGTTAACTTTCTTGTGGCAACAACTGTACTGGGAAATAAAAAGTGCGACGCGCCGAGAGCACGGGAACTGGTTACACAGTAGTCGGACACCGGTCGTGTTGAACAGAACTCTCATCACGCAGCCATCTCTCCCGTCAATATTGACCTTACAACGACACAATGCAATCTTAAGTGCCTGCTCATATCGCGTTAATACATTTATACGTGCTTTATAGCTTGTGACAACTCGGTAAAAACCATTGTTGACATGTTCAAAGCAAACAGCAGTAACAGCAGACACGCCTCGAGTCTCGCACAATCCTTTACGACTCAAGTTTATTAAGTTGCGCGGATTGTTTGCAAACAGCGCGGTTCCCATTGCTAATGTACTCAGCCGTGTCATAAAATCTGCGATAACGAACATTTCTAGTACTTTTTAATTTTTACGGTTGATAATTCATGGTATTGAATATTTTTTCATTAACTTTGAAATATATGTCTAAATGTTTTATTTAAGGAAAGTAAGTAGCGTGTAAGTACCAACCTTTTCCGTTTAGCTGTGTCCTGAGGCGCGCGATCTCGCGGCCCTCGCGGACGTCGCGTGCGGCGCCGCGGGCGCTGGCGCGGGCTCCCCGGCGCGGCGACCTGGCCATCCTCCTCCCCCTGGCACGCACTCACATCACATGGCACACTACAGCTCGCCCTGCGCTCCCACACACAACGGGCTCGTTTGTTTACAAACAAAACTTTGCGCGCGAAACGTCAAGGCCGAGAGGCGGATACGTTCACATTTCATCAAAATGTTCTACCGGTATATTTACTGAAAATCGAAATTACAAATCAATATAACACGAGTTATTTGAAGCGTATAGACTGAACAACAAAGTGTTGTCGTTGGCGCGGTAGTAAGGCACGGGTGTAGTGGAGAAGGCACGGCGTGGCACTGGCGGTCGGCACGGGCCGAGCGCGGCTTGACGTGATGCCGCCGTGCTCCTCGTGTCACGTCACCCCGCAGCACGCAGCACGCAGCACGTCACGGCCGCGCCCGCTCGCTGCGCCGCACTGATAACATGATAACGCACCTGTCGCGCCCCGCACCGCACCTTCCATAACTATAACGCGCGACCTTTCTTCTACACATCAACATGTGTGGTAGTATTGAGGTAACCGTTTTACAATAAACAAAATCTTGCCTGATTTAGTTCAAACATTGCAGCTTGTCATTATTGAGCGTGCCCTATTTACTACCCTTACGATATTTTTTGTAAACCTTTATGTTCTAGAGTAGTACTCACTGGCTAGAAACAAGTGCGAGGTTGCTCAAGTCTAGAACAGAGTGCATTTGTGCATCATATAAATGCAAGCAACGCCTACATTTTTCATGTACTTGTGTTATTTTATGTGTATTTTTGAATATCTACGTATAGACTTATAGATAGTTATGATTGTGCCTTTGAGTCTGTTAAGTGACAAGTATACCTTATAGTGGTTTTGTAAACACCCGAGCCATATACATATGATTACAACTTATTATGTTTGAGTAACCTTTTTTAGGATATACTTATTTACAGTACAGCCATTGTGCAAACAAAAGCTCAAGCTCAAGAAAGATGTAGCCACCTGCGCCAGCACGGCTCGGAGCTGACGGTGATGACGTCAGCAATTAACGCTAGACGTTGCTAATGTGCCTAATTAAATTTGCGTTTAGGAATTGTAACAGCAAACCTCACATTCCTCACTCAGCACCGGCCACAGCAGAGTGACGTAATGCTATGAATTCATCGCACTGGCTTCGGAAAGTTACTGCCAATTAAACCACTGTTATTGACTTTGACCATGAAGTCATCGTAAAACGCAATCAATGTAATTCACAAGTACTGTTCCTAAATTATAATATTAGTATAAGATATGACCTAATCATGTAGACAGCAGTGTACATAAAACCTAGATGTATCGACTAAGTTAAAACTCATTCGATCATACAAGTAATGCGATTATGAAACACGACCTTGCGGCAAATGGACGGGAAATACGGCTCATTACGTCGTGTAATTAAACAAACCGGAAGATATATTACATATATACGGATTAATTATGTTACATACTTAACTTTTTATTTCATTTATCTCCCAGTTACAATGTTTGGAGCATTATTAGTTAAATAATTAAATTACATTTAAATCAAACTAGATACGGAATAAGTTTCGTAATGTAAGTCTATGATTCAAGAACCGATCTATTCCTTATTTTTTACATACATTGGCGTTGCCAATAGGAGGAGGGTAGCTGCCAGCCTCCAGAGAATCGAAAATTGTAAAGAGTACTTAGAATAGGTTCATAATTAATATTGCCTGTCCCTTTAGCCTAAGTAAGTATCATATAAAGTTATCTGTGATCATGGGTTGTCGACGCCCATAGATACTTAGCAAAAAAGAAATGTTATTTTAAGTATAGTCGTCTCTTATAGTGAGGATATGGTACAATGTCTGACAATCGTTCGACTTGCATTTTTCTGTCACACCGTCTTTGTGTTACAGCAGGGGTTATAAAATAAAACGCAGTAT